CCCCCGGGGGGCCGGGCCCCCCCCCCCCCCCCCCGAGGCACAGAGGACGACAGTGTCCCAATGTGTTGGGTGATGTTTAGGGTGGGGCTGCCAGATATCCGCGTCAATTCCAGGAGCAAGATGCCTTTCAGGGTGTGTGCACATGTGTGCACATGTGTGTACATGTGTGCGTGTGTGTGTGTTGTCCTGGGAGCTGTTTTCTTGGTGACCAGCTGGGATGATGGTCAGGTGGGGGTGCTGGGGCCTTGCCGGGTGGGGGCCAGGCCCATACACTGTTAACACCCCACAGTGAGAGGACGCCCCAAAATGGAGAGTAACATGGCCCCAAGTGGCAGCGAGGGTCAGGCATGGAACGGAGACTCCGAGGCACCCAGGGCTCTGGGAGCTGGGAGATCGGGGCATCTCTTCTGCCCGGGGTGTTCGCCTTTCATCTTTCATCGGGGCACGGCCCCTAAGCCTTTAATGCCGGAGGAATGGGTGTGAAATGTGGAATGTCGGCACTGGCCATCTGGCGGCCGTGACGTCCCTGGGCCAGGCGGGCTCTCGGAAGAGAGCGTGGCTGCCGGCTCCGTCCTGCTCTGGCCCTGGCTGCCCAAGGCCTTGGTGACTCCGGAGACCATGGATGTACCTGGGAGTGAGCACCCGCCTTCTCCCGCTGACGAGCCGCGAGTGACAGTTGTGCTGACTTCCAAGGGAGAGGCTCCCGGCTGAGTCCTGGCAGGAGGTGAGCTGTTGCCCACCGCACCTCTGACTGGTTGGCTGGGAGTGTTTACAGCACGTGTTGGCCCCCTGGCCACTGGGGTTGCGTAGTCAGCTTCCTCGATGAACCACTAGCCAAGAAGGGAGAGGCAGGCAGCCCCCGGACAGGTGCAGACGGCGGGCAGTGGGAGGGGACCCCAGCCCAGGGGGATGGGATTTGGCTGCCACAGGCTCCCTGTGCACCCCCCAACCCTCACCGCCTCTGTGGGCCTTGCCAGGGCACCTGAGTAACGTGGACGACCCTTCCATGGCACTGAACCCATCTGGCAGGACGTGAAAGGCAGGGAGCAGCCAGATGCAGCTCCGGGCCATGCCTGGAACATCGGTTGGGGTCTCGGGGTGGAACCTGGCCTGGCTGCTGGGGGGACTGTCCTCCCCGGGGTCCCAACACTCAAGGAAACAGGCCCTCCAGGACCCGCCATCACCCAGTGGGCTGGTGGGTGTGTGGGGGTGACCAGCCAGGGAGGGAGGGGGGTCACTGCGTCAGGCACTGGGGAACCAAGACAGACCTTGTGTCCCCGGTTCGTGTGGGGCAGCCCAGGTGGGCCCCGGATTCCAGTCTGTTTTTTTACTGCTGAGGGGCCGAGTAGCGGGCCTCACCACTTGGGCACATCCACGCTCTGGGCTCCTGGGACATCCACCTACAGCATCCCCACCTCCGGAGCAGACCGGGGGGGAGACAGCGGAATTTCAGATCCACAGCTGGAGGGTGGGCAGAAGCCCACGGCCCTCGTGCTGGCTGTGAACACATGGAAGTCGCTCCATCACAGGCTCAGGGGCACCAGAGGTGGTGGGCGGCCCCGGTCCCACAGGCCTGATGGGCCTCATCTCCCGTCCCCTTTAAACCCGCTCTGTTTGATGAGCTGGGGGCAGATGAGCCCCAGGGTGGTCCCAGGGGTGCACAGCCCCCTGCTGAGGGGCCCTCTCTGGCACCTCGGCTTTTGGGGGTGGTCCTGATGGCCGTGGGGGTGAGTAGAAAAGTTCAGGAGTGTGAAGAAACCTCAGTATTGCCGGGAAACAGGAAAGAAAACTTCGTATTTTTGCAAGGATCGTTTATTTCCTGCCTTGGCGGCTTCTCTGGCCTCTGTAATTATTGTGTAATTTTTTCGCCTTGCCCATTTGGGGTGGAAGGGTGTGGCCTTCCTGGCGAGGAAGAGGTCAGGAGGGAGCAGGACAGGAGGAGGTGCTGGTGGCCAGCTGGGACCCTGGCGGGGTCTTCTGGGGCCTGGGGTTGTGTGACCTCAGAGGTGGAGGAGGTTGATCGTTGGAGGCGGCTCCAGAGCCTTTGCCGGCAGCTCAGCGCCTGCTTGGTCTCCGTGAATACGGACCACGTTCCAGCTGCGTTCACCGCATTCTGGTTTCTCCCTTCTCCTCACTCCCTGTTACAGCTCAGCATCTACTGCCCGCCTGTCCCCAGCTGACCCGCTGGGTGCCCTCACGTACGGTTTTCTCTCTGGAAATTGTGTTTGTCCACCCGGTTGTCCTTACGCGGGCAGTCGGGACCTGGGTCCATCTGACCATCTGCAAGCCCCTCAGGGCGGCAAGGTTCTGACAGAAGGCACCCGCCCACTCCCTCCCTCCTGCGCCTGCGTCCTCACCTGGGCCCCTGCGTCCTCACCTGGGTCCCTGCATGGCCCTGACCCGTCTCCCTGACCCTGTTATTTTCTCCTTCGTTCAGTTCATTTTATGTACATTCCAGAGTAACCTTCCTGGGACGTCCACACCCCAGCCCTCCCCTCTCCGTGAGACACGGGCCAGCATTCCAACCAGCCCGCTGGCCACCCCTCCCCGGCTCCCCGTAAGGAAAGGAGATTGGATGCGCCTGAGACCAGTGCATTCCACAGCCTTTATGAGCCCGACTCCGATTAATAATTGTTTCCAGATTGCTTCTCTTGGCGTCCACAGACTGGGTTTCCACAAAGGTGACCTCTGCTTTGTGAAGCTCAGAGTTGTAGGAGGGAAGTCTCCAGGGTGACGCTTCATTAGCTCAGCCGTCGACGGTATCGGCTCACTGGGGCTTCCAGGGCTGCTGACTGCCTTCCCCCAGGGCCGCCGGGTCCCCACACCTTCTGCAGTGGGGCTGGGAGTGAGCCAGGGAGGCTAGTGTCCACCTCTGTCCTCAGCCCTCAGCCGAGGTCCCAGGGCCCGTGACCCTTGTAGAGGGCACAGCTCCAGGCAGGGTCACACGCTCCCAGGCCTAGGGTCTGATCACAGCGTGTAGCCTGGGCCCCCTGACTACTGCCTCTGGGTGGTGCCCCTGGCCTAGCTCAGCTGGCTCGGATCCTGGGACACGCGTGGAGGGCTTGCACAGATCCTCACCTCCCACCCACCTGCGCTGCACCCACCGCACACCTGGTGGCTGAGGGGAACCTGCCTCCTGGGGAGAGCTGCCGAGGCCGGCCCCCACTAGCAGAGGGACCCCAGGCTGGGCCTCTGATCCCATGGGCACTGGGTATGCCAGCCAGGATGGGAAGGCACCGCTGCTCCCCGCCTCTTGCTCACAGGCCAGAATAAAACCAGGGGCACACGAGCCCTCAGAGCCGGCCGTGCTATGTGCTCCTTCGTCATCATGCCCACCGTGCGGCTCCATGGGCAGCAGGTCCACAGCGGGCGAGAGGGATGAGGGGTCCCCAGTTGGCCACCCTCTTTTTTTGAAATCCTCACCCGAAGATATGTTTTTATTCATTTTAGAAAGAGAGAAAGGGAGAGAGAGAGAGAGAGAGAGAGAGAGAGAGAGAGAGAGGAGAGAGAGAGATGGATGCCAGAGAGAAATACCGATTGGTTGCCTCCTGTATGTGCCCCCCCCCGACCCGGATCGAACCGCAACCTTTTGCTGTATGGGGTGGCACTCCAACCAACTGAGCCACCCGCCAGGGCTCACCACCCCTTTTTTAAGATAGGCCTTGAGGCTGGGGTCCACGACTGCAGGCCGAGGCTGCAGGCAGGCAGAGGCTTGGGGTTTGGAGCTGGGCGGGGAGGTGCCTGCCTGGAGGCTGGGTGGACTCGGCTTCCATCCCATTCAACAGGCTGTTCTTGCTCTGCAGCTCCTGATAACTTCACAGGAGCCGGGCGGTGAGGGGGGGTGAGTCAGGCCTCGCTGAGCTGCACTGGGACGCTGCACCCACACTGCCCGGAGGCGGGACGGCGGCACCAGCGCTCTGGACGCTCACGTCCACCCAGGCACCCCAGAGACACTGTGTGCCGGGCCCCATGCCACGCACATCCCGGCCCCGGAGGCCTCTCTGCTGCTGCTCGTCTGTGCCTTGCCTGGCCCCCCCAGGTCCCCGAGTCACTGCTGCTCCTGGAGGGGGTCGGGCAGCCCCTGCGCAACCCTGTTCTACGGCTGCAAGGGCAGCCAGCCGGGCACCCAGACAGGATTAGGTCGTCCAGGCCCAGTGAGTGCCAAGGCCAGGGACGTTCTGGGGCCCTTAGAACAGGAAAGGGTCGTGGGGGTGCCTCAAGTTTCTATGGAGTCAGGAGAATTGGTGCAAAAACTTAGAAACTCAAACTGGGTGAGGGAGAGGCCTTGAGAGGAGCAATGTGGTCGTCAAGTAATAAATTGTATTTTCCCAAATCCACCCCCAAGTGAAGGAGTGCACTGTCCCCGGGGGGGTCACCAGAGCCTCCCCCAGGTTTCTGCCTCCCCCACCCCCAAACCCCACACCTTTCTGAGACCGTGTGCCCACCTGAGAGGAGGGGGAGGGGCTGGGGGAGCAGGGCTTTTCGTAAGGCCCGTCTGGCTGGGGGAAGCCACCCCACCCAGGTAGGGGTTTCAGGGAACTCGGGATTCTGTGACTGGGCTGCTCTGAAAGGCATTTGGAGGTGTTTAGAGGGGTCACTGGGGACCAAGGACAGGTGGGGTCTGAGGAAGGGGAGTTAGGAGGGTCCTAGGGCCTCGTTCACGATACCTTTACTAGGTGTACCGGTTAATAATGCGGATTTTTTTTCACTAGATGGAGTTACACATATGTTGATATATATGCGATTTGATATGTATGCTGTGTTGTTGTATTGCTCCTTCAGATGACCACTTGTTCCGACCGACGGCACACGCACTTCCTGAGCAGCACTTCAAAACGTATGAAGAAGTGGAAAATTGGGTCTCTGAATGGTCTGCCTCAAAACAAGAAAAGTTCTATTGGGACGGTATCCACAAATTACCTAAAAGATGGGGGAAATGTGTAGCTGGCGATGGACATTACTTTGAATAAAGCACTTTTGATGTTTCTCTTGAAATTATTGTGTTTTCTTTGATTACAAAATCCACATTATTACGGTTAATAATGCAGATTAACTATTAACCGGTTAATAATTCGGATTAACCATTAACCTGCTAAAATTCGGATTAATTATTAACTGGTTAATAGTGCAGATTAACTATTAACTGGTTAATAATATGGGTTAACTATTAACCGGTTAATAATGCAGATATTGTGATCCAAAGAAAACACGATAATTTCAAGAGAAACATCGAAAGTGCTTTATTCAAAGTAATGTCTGTCGCTAGCTACACATTTCCCCCATCTTTCAGGTAATTTGTGGATACCGTCCCAATAGAACTTTTCTTGTTTTGAGGCAGACCATTCAGAGACCCAAATTTCCACTTCTTCGTACTGGTTTTGAAGTGTGTGATGGTGCGTCTTCTGGCCCATTCTGGTCGTTTTACGATCAAAGCATGGTTCAAATTGATTATTTGTTTTTGGTAGCGATCAGTATTAACGGTTTCACCTGGTTTTAGAAGCTCATAATACACCCCGCCTTCCTGATTCCACCAAACGCAGAGCATTGTCTTCTTTCCGAAGCGATTTGGCCTTGCAGTCGATGTTGATGGTTGACCTGGATCAACCCATGATTTTGTGCATTTGGGATTCTCAAAATAAATCCACTTTCATCGCCAGTCACAATTCGATGCAAAAAAAGACTTTCTTTCGTGCCGTTGAAGCAACATCTTACTGATGACTTTTCAGTTTTCCATTTGTCTTTCGTTCAATTGATGTGGCACCCATTTTCCTTCCTTTAAAATCTTTCCCATTGCTTGTAAACGATCAGAAATTGTTTGCTGAGCAACGTTTAATCTTTCCGCAAGTTATTTTTGAGTTGACATGCATCTTCATCCAATAATGCTTGTAATTGTTGGTCTTCAAACTTTTTCGGTTGACCTGGACGTTCTTTGTCTTTCACATAGAAATCATCACTTTTAAAGTGTTTAAACCAGCGTTCACAAGTGTCTTGAGATGGAGCATGTTCACCATAAGCTTCCCAAAGTATATGATAACTTTCAGCAGCACTTTTCTTCAAAATAAAGTAATGAATTAAAACTTCCCGCAAATGCTCTTTTTTTTTTTTTGGCACGAAATTCGACATTTTTAAGCGTAAAAATATCTATGATGTTAACACCTTCAGAAAATTTGACATATGAAGTTTTGAACATGTTGTCAATAAAACAAAATAGCATACATATCAAATTGCATATATATCAACATATGTGTAACTCCATCTATTGAAAAAAATCTGCATTATTAACCGGTACACCTAGTAGGCTGCGGCCTCGTGGGTCCTCCCAGGCAGAGCCTCGATCCCCTGGGCATGGAGGCAGGAGGGGGGATGCTGGGGAGCAGGCAGCGTGTGAGGGGTCGGCCCTGGCATTTCAGGATGTGGCTGCGGAGGTGGAGTGATGGCAGCGCTGGCTCAGGCCAGCGGAAGGACAGGCTTTGCTCAGCGCAGGCTGGTCTGCATTGGTGTTGGGCATGGAAGGATTTCACCGAGCCCAGTAGCTGCTCTTGGGGCACAGCTGCTCCGACCACTGAGTGGGGACAGGCCTGTCCTGCACTGGGCGGTGGGCCTGGGGTCCCTGCAGTCAGCCCCCTGCCCGCACGCTGAGGCCGCGGTGTGATTCTGGCGCCTGGGGTCATAGAGGCGCTGCCGGAAATCAGAGCACCTTTGGGGTGTGGCGGGGCCCCACCGTGGGGCAGGTCGTAGAGGCTCCTTTGGGGTGTGGCGGGGCCCCACCGTGGGGCAGGTCTGTATCTGTGCACGTCCATGCCCTGCCTGATGCTCCCCTCCCTGCCCTCCTGCAGCTCCCTGCCGGCCCTGCAGTGACACGGAGGTGCTCCTGGCAGTCTGCACCAGTGACTTCGGTGAGTGCCCTGGTTCCCGCCGCGGGGAGGGCGCCCCACCTGGTCCCAGAGAACCTTCCAGCGCTGGCACCGACCTCTGCAGGGAGGAGGCTGTGAGGACCCTGGGCTTGGTGCCCCTCTTCTATGGGTCACAGGGCTGCACCCCCGTGACTCCAGCCCCAGGGAAGGGACCTAGCGCAGGGCAGGGAGAGGGCTGGGAATTCCTGTTATTTCAGGTGATCAAGGGGCAGTGTCCCACTTTGCATGTGACGTCATTGCTCTGGAAGCCTCACCTCAGAGCCTCACCCTCCACCAGGCCCCCTGCAGGGGCCACAGTGGGAGTTCCAGGTCCTGGTAGGATCCAGGGCCGAGGTCAGGGACTCAGCTCTGGCAGAGGATGGCGGCTGGCACAGCTAGGTGCCCTGAGCCCCGAGCCCGAGGGCAGCCACCCGAGGGCAGGGTCCTGTGGAACTGCAGGCTTCTTGCTGGGCCCACAAGGGCGGACCCTTTGTAATGAGCCCTCTCTCTGCCCTGTCCTCCCTCACCCTCCGCCCCTGAGCGTCACCCATCTCCAGTCTTGATGCAGATCTTGTGTATTAGCTCTCGTTACTGTTCTTGTCCCAACTTGAACATCTGACGCACCAAGTGGTTTATTTCTCCCATGTTCTCCCACGTGTGTGGCTGGGCCTCCTCCTCTGACAGAGCCGAGTGCGGGGACCACTCCAGGCAGCCTCACGCCAGGAGTTGTCCTTTCTTTTTTTAAAATCCTCACTCGAGGATATTTTCCATTGATTTTTAGAGAGAGTGGAAGAGAGAGGGAAAGACAGAGAGACACATCAGTGTGAGAGAAACACATCGATTAGTTGCCTCCTGCATGTGCCCCAACCAGGGCCTGGGTGGGGAAGAGTCTTCAACCCGGGCATGTGTCCTTGACCAGAATCGAACCTGGGACCCCTTGGTCCACAGGCCAACGCTCTATCCACTGAGCCAAACCGGCAAGTGCCGGAAGCCGGTCCAACCTTGCTGCTTGACACAGTCACTGCAGGGAAGAAACATCTGCACAGCATGTTTCAAGGGACCTGGCGTATATGGCATA